CAGCGGTATGTCCGAGGACTTACAACGCTTGTTTGTTTGTAATTAAACACAAAGCTTCACAATGGGCTATCTATGCTCTGCCCACCGCGGGTATCGAAACCCGGATTCTAGCGTTGTAAGTCCTCGGACATGCCGCTGTGCCACTGGTTTTGTAAACAGTAGTAAATTTCTTTCTCAAATTTTATTTTTTTACAATCTTATCTAATTATTATATTAAACTAATATTATTAAATTTATTAATTTTTCTTCAATTTCTATGAGCTTTTTTATTTTTAGAAAATACAAAAGTGTTATGTTTTAATCGCAACACATTTGATAATACCTTCAAAAAAATATAAATATAACACAACATCGTTGCCATTTCATGTGCTTTATTCTAATTACGAAAACACGATATTTTTTAAGCAAAGTTTTACATTCAAGAAAACATTTTTTATTTTATTTTAGCTTCATCATGCTTTTTTATTTTAGGTTTATACCAGAAAAAGTAAATGTAGTACACGGTGGCCAGTATTTTATCATAAATATGAACCAGATTAAAAATTTATTGTTTAAAAATTATATTTTAAGATTTTAATTTCGTGCTAGAAGTAAAGTAACTGTGAATCGGATTAATAGTTTGGAACTTATGAAATTTGCCCAAAATCTTTTATTGTTAGAACTATTGTTTAAAGTGTCCCTTTTTTGTATATATATTATATATATAAGATGTACCAGAACTATACAGGTGGGTTTATACTTAGTAAGATAATTAACTGAAATATTATTCGAAGTATTACTACTTATACTAAATTGAATAGTTATTAATATCATGCAGTGATAAAGTGTCAATATCACTACTAGAAATATACAGAAAGGTTATATATTGCCTAATTAGATATCATAGAGTAACTATACTAGGGATAAGGTTGGATGATGTTCTTCGATAGAAATCAAGGATGGTTTAATATCTGATTTCTATTTCTATTTTTATGGTTTTTTTCAGGGATAACTATCATACCTACAACCGGCTATAGACGGTGAGTGATAGTGGTATCTGGAACGTTGTGGGTTCTAGCACCTAGATCCTAACCTATCCCCCCTTTTTTTTTGCGGTTACGGGCTGGCTAGCTCTGCATCTGTTGTTTTGATTATGTCTGATCGACGGAATATCCCCAATGCTTTTGGGAGCTATAACCACAGATATTTTTACTTTAAAATGATACCTTTTGTACAAATAACCACAGATATTTTTACTTTAAAATGATACCTTATGTACAAATAACCGCAGACATTTTTACTTTAAAATGATACCTTATGTACTTTTGTACAAACGGTATATTTTTTACTTACTTGTTGGTGCGTACATCTACATGTACAATAAATAAATTGTAGGTTATATCATAATTTCGTCAGGGTTTACAGTGCTGAGTGATCGCCTGTACGCTTTTGATGTAATACAGTTTAGTTGAAAAATTGTATACATATATATATATATACACACCCCCAGTGAATCAGTCTGAAGACGTATAACACTAAAATCCAGGTTTATATACCAGTTAATGGTGGGTACAGCACAGATAGCCCGTTGTATAGTTTTGGTCTTACCTACAAATAAACAAAACTATACAGACATCAATAATGCTTTAGTATAGCGCCTCTGGAATAAATTTGAATAAAATAACTATTTATAAAAGTTTATAATTTAAGTTAATTATTATTAAACAGTCATTTTATATGAAAAAAAATAAACATGAAGCAATTAATGTAAATGATCTCTATGAAGACCAATGATCCAATACTCAGCTACAGCATGACACTAAACCGAACTGAGTTAAAAGAAGATGTACAGTAAGAATAGGAAGTCAAATATGAATCTTTTATTGCTATAGAAAACTCAACAGTGGTTAAAAAATAGTAAATTAACTAAAATGTTATAGTATGCAACATTAACGCACATTTCATCAAATCGGGGGTAATTAAATCTTAATATCCTAATCGTTTAACACTTGCATAATCAACTTTTTACACCATCTCTAAATGAACTTATTACATTTTCTTTTCAAATGTTCGTTCAACTGTATATTATGTATATAGTGCCTATCGATGCCTTTGATAATGTTCATAAATCTAATATATTAAGAACGATGGTAGCTACTTCATGCAACAGTATCGTTGTTGTCGAGAGTTAAATGTATTATTAGGAGAATTCATTACGTACTTCGTTTAACTTGACAGTACAAAAACGACAACATGGCGTTTTTATAATTACTGTTACCAAATGGTCAGAAGAAATGAAACTAGAACCTGTGAGGAATATTTTTTTTTTTGGAGGAGCTGTTTACCTGTATGAATTGATTGAAGTATAGAGAATAATTTTTCCTCAGCCTATAGAGAACATTGCAAATACTACATAAAATTATCTAATTCAGTTTTAAGTCAATGTCCAAATTTTTTTTACACGGTTTATCATTTGTTGTAATTGAAGTAAGTTTATCAAGACAAGTCGAAACTTGTTTGCTACTTGTTTGTATTTAATTCAGTTTATCAAGACGACACCCAAGTCTTTTTATATACATACTTTATTCAGGCCACTCTAGCAATACAATTTTCAGAACTTTTTAGCTTTGCTTTGCAATTTTTTATAGTTACGCCAATTTGTCACGAAAGCATATAAACCTCCTTCTTTCAGGTTTTTCCACCTAGCTATACTATTTATTGTGTACCTATAGCTATGCAGCTAGTTCTCGTTCCCAATTATTTGCTAGAGAGTTTCAGGTTATTCCAGTAGTTAGTCTTTCTCTGAAGTTTCCCATCTAATTGTAATGCTTAACCACTTCATAATTTTCCAGGTAGTTGTATAACCTTATGCTAGATTTTTTTTTTAGGTTATTTCAGCATTTAATCTCTCTCTAAGGATTTTCAGAGAAGTTTAGTACATAATCTCTTCCTAAACTTTTCCAGGTAATTCTATATATCTTATATCTAAAGTTTTCTAGGTAGTTCTAGCATTAAGTGTTTTCAATAAAGCTTTCCAGGCAATTATAATACTTAACCTCTTTCTAGGTAGTTCTATAACCTAGTATTTACCTTGAACTTTTCAGTTCTATGTAGTATTTAGTAGTAGTATTTAGCCTTTCCCTAAGCTTTCCATAAAATGTTAGCACCCTATCTCCCCATAAAGCATTTTAGGTGGTTCTAACACATATTTCCTATTCCGGTTTTGAAGCAAATGCCTGTATTTAGCACTTCTCAGGTGTTCTAGCTAACATTTCAGGTAGTTTAACCTATCTTATTCGAAGAATACAAGCAGTTCTAACAATTTGTTTCTCGTCAGAATTCTACAGTGGTCAGAGGCGTCGCTAGGTGCTTAAAAAATTTGGGTTCAGGCCCAAAGACGTGGGAATTTTCGGCGTTTCAATATGATATCGATCATGATTTTTTTCAAAACACCAACTGGGGATTCGGGGCATTGTCAAATAAAATCGGGGCACGGGCCCCGTCTACCAGTGCCTATCGATGCCTCTGATAGTGTTCATAAATCTCATATTTTTCAGGTTTTTCTCTGAAATATAGTGATAGACAGATACATCAATTTCTGCCAGAAAAGTATCTCCAAGTATCCGCAAAACCCAGAAATGTTAAGTAAAGAATGATTTCGAACTCTGTCAGCGGATGAATACAATTGCTCAAATATAACAAAATCTTTATTCATACACAATGTAAATCCTAGCTTACAGGTTGGATCAGAGAAAGAGAGACCATCTTCAAAGGAAAAATGTGTTTATGCCGGATAAAGACAAGAACAGAAATAATTCATAGCCATACAGGACAAAGACCAGAGTACAAGTAATGAAATATCACGTCGTTGAGTCAGATTCAAGGCCCTAGTGTCGTGTCCCAAAATCCTTAGTTTACCTACGTCAGTGATAGATTTCCATTAAACACGTTCAAGAGAGATAAATCCCAAATCATATTAACTTGCACTCTATCTCTGTACACCCTTTGAAATGAGTATTACCTTAGTCCAAGAAGTCATGAAACAGAAACAACTCCGAGAAATATCAATGTTACAAAAGAGTCACTGTAGTATGTGACTTTTGTCTAAACAAGGATTAGCACAAGTACATGACCTTACCACATCTGACTTACAAAGATTAGTAAATACGTGCAGAACACCCATATGAGAATTGATTTTAAAAAAGTAACTGAATATTCCTAAGTAGAGATGTATTCCTTACTAGTTATTGAAATGTAAAATGCGATCATACTTCCAATCATCTCACATATACAGAACTCTTTAGCAGTTTTCACCCCTAATCTTTCCTTAAGTATTGCATCTAGTTAAATTTTCTAGTATATTTCTAAAACAATGGCTATGAAACTCGAGCATTTTCACCAGAGTTTTACATCTAACTTAGCACTGTGTTTATATTCAAAATCTCTTCAACTACCGCAATCGTATCTTCTCCGAACTTCTCTCTTTAGAACATTCCACTTAATGTTATCGCTTACAGTTTCTTACTACACTGACTTCCACCTAGCGTCACGCCTAGTCTCTCGTTAAAGCTTTCTAGTTTGTTAACATTAATATCTTATCTATTTTTGGATCTTCGAGCATGGGGTGGCACAGCATAGCTTAATGGTAAGCGTGTGTGTCGGTCTGTGAATTTGAGGGTTCATGATTCGCGTTCCGTTACCGCAAAAACGTTTTCTGTACTTTGGGGCGTGGGTAATCTTTAATAGTGACAGTCAAAACCAACTTTATTGTCAGACAAGAGTGGTCCAAGAGTAGAAATTGGGTGTTGTTCACTAACTGCCTTCCCTCTAGTATATTCGTTTAAAATTAGGGATGGATATGCGCAGATATTCTTGTTTGTTATCTGCGGTCTGTCCATCAAGGGGAATCGAACACTGGTTTCTAATGCTTTGTGTCCATAACTTTACCGCTGACCCAACGGGGACTACAAATGGTCTTTGTGTAGCTAAATTTCTAGAATAAACAAATCCAACATCAGCTCTGTGTCAGAATTTTCCAGTTATTGTTAGAAACTGTTCTCTTTACAACTCTTTTCCAGAATTTCCTAGCTGACTTGAGCACCTACTCTGTCAGCACATAGCGTTAATATTTATAATTTACGTCGAATCATTATAAGCTCAATAAGACAATTCTTAGCTTATCACTGCACCTATAATATATGACTAAAAATTCCACAAACTAAAGCTTTTCTTTTCTTTCTAATTTCAAAACACAAATATAAATAATATGAACACACAGTTGTCTTACAACTCAGTTTATTGAACTCTTAGTAATTAAAAATAAAAAATATCGTTGGTACTCTTAAAAACGTGCACACACATGTATCTCAAATGTATATTTCACGGCAACAACTTGCCCTGTACAAATGCTACAGCAAATGAATATTCAAATTGTCGAGTATTACGTAGGGAATGTTTCATTTCTTCATTGTTTTCTTCTTCTCCTTATTCACATATTAACCGACATAGTAAGATATTCCGATCCTTGATAAAATATCAAACATTTCTAATATTAATTTTTTTTATTATTTGTAGATAGAAAAAAATTTGAAAAAAAAAAACTCTCCAAATTTCAGTTTTGAATTGTGGACTGAAATGATTTTTCTTTATAAGTTCACACAGGTCTCACCTTTACTATTTTCTTAACAATTAATGAAATTGTCTCTTAACTAACCCTTGCCACTCATAAGCATCTTTAACGATGTACATACGGGTAAATTAGTAACTCAATATATTGATACTTTCACAAAACAGAGTGCCACAGTGCTGGGTGTTGTTCAATTTTAAGAAGTTTGCCTCTTGTTTACGAACGTTCGTGTTATTAATTGTTACTTGTAGCACCTACTGATTAGAGGCTAGATGTGATATCGACCCGATCTTCCATATGTCTAAGAAGCCACACTCCCTGAAATCAGATAATTATTAGACAAGGAATTACGTTTAACGATTTAATGTTATCTTTCTGATGCTCAACCTTCAATGTTTGCAAAATATGTGAATTAAACAGATAAGAGGATTGATTTTTTGAGTTATTCTCGTCCTATCTTCGCCAAGTTTTAGTAACAGAAGAAAAGTTTCATTAACTTGATCAATTGGCCTACCAACAACGTTTGAGAAAATTAAAAATAACCAAGGCTAAAGAGAGGAGTGACCGGTAGTAGGTGATACACGATACTTACCAGAGCTGTCTATAATTAAACTTACCCCAGGCAAAGCTAACTCAATAAAACATGATAAATAACCTTTACAGCCACTAACGACAACGAATAGTTTACGTCGTGACGTTTTAGTCTTACCTTCAGATATAATCTAAAACGCAACAGAGAGAGGAGTGTCTTGACTTTTCCTTTTACTCACTTCTGAGGTGCTTCCTCCTGTAGTAATTATCCACTTCAGTTATACATGAATTAAAGTTTGTGATCACTGGAATGTTAAGATATAAAATTCTATAGATCTGAATGAGTCAACAAAACATGTAAAATAATACCATATGGTATGGATCAAGAAAAATAATCTAATTGTTAAAGTTATGTAGTATTTTAATACTTAGATAAGATAAATAAGGATAGGCATGAATCATCATTTTCTTTTTCTTTTTGTTTCAAATTATATGATAAAAACCGTAATTTGTGTATCAGTCATAAATTTCTTTTTCACGAAATACTCTGTGTTCATATGCTTGTCCTAGAACTATAAGTTTAATATTTTAAGGGTTCCTAATAAAGCTTAAAATAATACGAACGGAAGCACGTTCTTGTTTCTGAAGTTGTGAGTTGACCAATGAAATTCTTCTAGATTAAATTCAAAATTTACAGCAAAAACGTTAATGTTGGAGTCAAAATATGATTGTCACGTAGACACTCGTTTATTATCGCTTATTAGGAAATTACATGAAACACATGTTTAGATATATTTGATAATGAAATTTTGAATATATACAAGTGAAGATTCAAGATTAAAATTACTGTTACTGCTGTTATGTGATAATGAATTATTTTCCTAGAAAGCCGTCTGGAGGGTTCACCTGTTTTAACCACTCGCACCACTCTACAGTAGTGTGTTGTCTGTCAGTCAGTCAGTAGACACTAAAATAACGTTACATAAGGGACGCTTAACGTTGAAATTTGTGCTTCGTGACGTAAGTAAAACGTGCGCATGCCATGAATTACGAGAAGAATTATGCACTCTGTAGGCTAAAACACAGCATGGCATATGAACTCCCAAAGCAAGAAATAAAAATATTTGTTACTCTTAATTTTAGTTTTATTTCTTCTTGAAACAGGACACTTTTGGGGACCCTGCGCAAGTACATCTAGTCTATAAATGATATACCCCAATTCTCCTCATATAAGTCATCAATGCGGAAATAATATTTTAGCTTTTTTTGTACTTTTCTTAATAAGGTAAATTAAATGCCCATTCTCAAATACATTTATATAACACAATTACATTTAGTCTGTTGTGTTTATGGTTAAGTAACCTTTCCTTTCCCTTGTACACATTTCCAGGTAACGTTTATGGTTACACTATTCTTAGATCATTTGAGTGTAAACTTGTGAATTGTGTTAAAAATAAACTGCCAGCTGTCATGATATTCTGGAGGAAATTCCATACAATTCGAAAATGTGTTTGTTTGTTTTTCGTTTTTTGTTTTGCTGTTAAAATAAAATATGATTCTCTGACTTCGATTTAAAACGTACATGCAAAATGAGCGGTTAATTTATTCTTGATTTGCCTTTGGAGAGTACATTAATGTGTAGGTATGAAACTCAGGAAAGCGGAAGGTAATTTTAGTAATATTCTACAGAATGTAGGTTTATACTATATTTTGGTTATACAGAAATACTGGTTGGGATATTGTTTCTTATGCAGGAACAGAGAGAGCAAAATTCTATGTATTTGCCCTGAAGATTATTTCAGCTTTTCCCTTCCCTGACAAGATTATAATGTCACGCCTACGTGTATAAACTAAACGTTATCCGCTACTGGCTATATGAGACCACCCTGACGTTGAAGATTCCCATGCTGTGAGTAGAGAGAAAAAAAAAGGTTTTTATATCTAAAGTTTCTTGGTGTTGTATGAGCCAATCTTGTTTCACAGTTCTGTAGCTATTGCTTCCGGCGATGAGCATAATGAGACATAAAACCTTGCCTACATCTATTCCTCACCTATTCCTACTGATTTTTTTTTACACAAAACTTTCTGCCTAGCTTTAGATATATAAATCAACTTCCTGAAAAAAAAATCGTAAATGACGATATATATTCAAATACATATTTTTGTTTTGTAAACTTGTTAAAACATACCTGAGTATATTGTTATAAAATTTCATTTGACAGTGAAGGAGCGACGTAGTTCCTACCTGTACAAAATCCAACGTTCATGATAATAGCTGAACTATATCTGAAGTTTTGTGTGTTTAATATAAAGATATGGAATACTTATAATTTGATAAAAAAAAATTAATATTGCATAATTCTGCAGATTCAGAATTGGTTTTAGCAACAACCAAACTTTCTTGGATTTTTAATAACTGCTCATCTTCAGTTCTGTTAATTATCACAAAGTTGCCAGTTGTGGTATCGATATCAAATGTTTTCGGGTTTACAAGAAATATGTTCCTTAATGCAAATAGATCATCACCTGGTGGTGAAGCCTACCCACACGTCAAGAACTTGTGAATTGAAAGATTACAAACGATCGTGTGTTTTTTTTTTAGAAAGAATATCCATAATGTTCCATAAATATCACTTAGAATAATACACACACATATATAAATCTCAAAACACGATAACCAAACTTGTGAAAAAAAAAATGAATACAAAAATATAATGGTGCCACATCATTAATTACACCACACCTTTGAGATTAAGCTCGAGGACCGGCCTTGATTGTTCCAGATATTGTAGTTAATAGTGTCTTATTAACAGCAACAAGGTGTATATAACTCAAATCGTAGAGCACTAACTTAAGAGTTAGACGTGCGCTCTGTGTGCTCAGCGTTCTAAAATTAATTAACTTATCACTGCATTTTTGTAGGAATTTTAGAATGGTAGTCCAGCTCCAGTGATTGAAATCACGAAGGTATATAAGTTGACTACTTATTATGAAGTACGAAATTAAATGCTACCCATATTATGTATAAAACGAGTTGGATTAAATTAGTGAATCTTACATCTAAGATTATGGATGATATTGTCGGCTGTGTGGAATCTGCTGTCACGAGGCCTAGCAGTTATGAAGGAGCGTTTAATGAGAAAAATGACGCACAAGTAAATGTGAGTAAAATTTGATGGACGATATTATCCATCAGTAAAATTTGATGGACGATATTATCCACCAGTAAAATTTGATGGACGATATTATCCACCAGTAAAATTTGATGGACGATATTATCCATCAGTAAAATTTGATGGACGATATTATCCACCAGTAAAATAATCAAACAAAATTTATAACAGTGTCAATATTTAGTCATCTACATAATACTGATGATAATCAAGTTGTGAAGAAAGTTTTGGAATATGACTGTGAATATAAACATGGCTATAAAAATAATGGAAAAATGATTAATGATATTTATACGGAACAAGGATTTCAAGTATGTTATTATTGTCTTCTCCTGTAAACGAACTGATCCTATGTGAGCTGCAGCTTACTATGATTCTAAACATAATGATCAACATAAAGTTGGTAATTAAGTTTGTTAATGAACATCTTCGTATGAATTACATTTTTTTAAAAGTGAAACTCTTGTTAAGGACCAGTTCATGATAGAACTAATTTTATTTCATTGTTTTTAACAGTTTTGTTTTTCACAAATTTCATATATAAAATTCCAAACGTTAAAAGTTTTAATGAAACTTACAAGTATGCCAGGACGGTGCTTTAGAGAATAAGACAATGTATTCAATAATACTGCAAGTAAAAATAGTATTTCTATGATTAAAAAAATCTCAGTACATTGCTTTTAATCTCTTCCATAATGCCGATGATGATTGTTTATTAGACTTGATTTTATTTTTCAAACTTATATTTCGTTTGAGCTCTTTACTAATTATTTCAAGAACTAATATATAAGCTGCATCCAAATTGATTAATTATGTTATTTGATGTTTAATTAGAGCCAAATCTTGACATACCCTCCCCAATTATTATTTTGATAGATTTATAACTATTTTGATTAATTGAACGTTGTGGCACATTTTCCTGTAGTAAAGGCTTGGAATAAATTTAAATCAAAAGAATACTTTACTGTAATAGAATTTTATCTTTGAAATTATTCAGTCACGTACCTGTGTGATGTGTACTTCATTTAGAGATTTGCAGTATGTTAAGTCTTGCAAAATGAAATATTTTGCTTTCTTAGAGGAGCTTGAACTATTATTGAAGAGTTGGTATTCGTTGGTAAAGAGTAGTCCAAGAGTTGGCGGTTGGTGGTGTTAATTAGCTGCTTTCTCTTTAATCTGTCATCTTTAAATTAGGAATGGGGATCGCATACAGCCCTCGGGTAGCTTTGTGCAAAGTTTAACAATACACATTAATAAATCAATTCATAGATTCGTTTGATGTATATGGTATTCCAACCGTTCATAGATCGAACCCAGTACCTCTCGCACGTCAACTGAGCCTTTCTTTATTACTTTCAAATATTAGAAATAAGTAGTGTGCAAAAAACACAAAAACAACAATCAAAGTGCATAAGTGATATAAGTCAATGAAACATCATACAATTTGTGACGGTAACATATTTTTTTAACAAATGGAATAATTTGGCAATGATACAATCCTTTTGTATTTCAGCAAAATCCAAATTAATAGACCATTCTAAAAATACCCGAATTTGATATTTGTATTAAAACCTCAATCAACCGAAAATTAATATTATTTAGTTTTGCCTCATAGGATGATAACAAACACTGTTGAGTAACAAATTCATAATATCTTCTTTTGCATAATCCCAAACTATTTTTGCATCTTTACATTCAAAATAGAATTTTTTTTTTAGGTTTTCACTAAATTCTTATCGATTACATCATACTTATTTATGAGGTTCGTAAATTTTTGTACCGACAGATTTATATAATAATAGATAATGAACATGAGCTATAATTTTGTACTTATGATATTAATACAAAGACCAAAGAGAGCGCTAGAATAGTCAAATATTTGACCCGATGCTTTGCCCTTTCATTATTTAACGTATGTTGTAATAACATATAAATACATCTGAAAGATATATATACTAAGAATAGGAAGAAAATCAAGGGCAGGCGAAAAAAATCGAAATTATTAAGGAATCGAATAAAAATGGCTTTACTTTTTGAAAAGAAAAGTTTTATATGTAACTATGTTTTTTTTTTCTAATTCTAAC